CACTGAGTACGACGTCGGAGTAGGGAATTGTGGTTAAAGCTGTAATCCAGCGGGGCGAGGGACGAGGTACGATTCTTTTGGAGGGATCGGTTTCTGCGGATGCTTCTTCGGGTTTTATTGGCTCGTCTGCTCCGTGAGCTTGAGACAATGTGTAGATTGGCTTTTTCTTGTGAATGGTCCAAAGAGACAGTGATCCGTTGTCACCTCCAGTAATGAACATATCCTCATCAACCATAGCTATACGGTCGATACTACCCTCAAGAGTACGGAGGTCATTAGGATTGTTCTTGTGACGAGATTTCTTCTCACCTCCACCGCCACGGAAAACAAGTTGTGTTTCCTCCACCACTTTCCATAAACGGGCTGTACGATCACGAGCGCCTACTGATATGCAGCGTTCTTGGGCAAGAGAAGCGATATCCACAACTTCATCCTGATGACCGAACAAAGTTTCCACATATGCACCTTCATCCAAACTCCATATTTTAATTGTTCGATCCTTTGAACTGGAATATAATTGATTTGTTCCTCTTCTGAAAGCTAACCCTGTGATTGCGTCTCGATGTTGCGAAAAAACTCGAATGGGTCGAAGAGTCTCTGCATTCCAAACAATAATCTTTCGATCCACACCACCAGTTACAACGAATTTACCATCTTGTGAGGCGGCCACACTAATAATTGCGTCGGTATGCCCCATGAAGGATGTCACTTTCGACTTTCGTTGATCCCCTCGTACTGAAGCTACTAGGGTAGGCTTTTTCTTCGGCGGTGGTGAAGGTTTCTTGCTCTTCTTCTTGCCTTTCTTTTGCGGATATTGGTCCCTTGGTAAGTCCTGTATTTTCCACTTGACTAGCCACATATCCTTGGTCACAGTATAAACATATGGCGCACATGTAGCTACACTCGTAAATGAATGCGAATCCTTCTTAAAATGACAACTCGATGCTTCCCCAAATTCCAATTCGTCTGCCAATGTTTTGTATATTTTTCCTTTCGATTCCGCAACATCTTCTTCTAAGCGTTCGGCGATCAAATCTCGATCAATGTCCTCGGCGTTGAATCCAACTTCATCATCTGCTACCTCCTCCCGGATATTTTGCAAATATCTTTCTGCTAATCTCAGCCTGCGCTCCGCCGCAGTTTCTTCCTCTCCCTCTCCCTCTAATTCATCATCCGAGGTGAGATCTGCAACATCATCGTCCAATTGACCTCCTTCACTCTCCGAGTCGCTTCCAGAAATCGATTCATCTCTTTCGGGTTTTTTCGCAGGTTTTGGCTGTTTCGCGGGAGCTTTTGATGAGGCAGCTAATCTTTTCTTGGGTAATTCTGGGGCATCATTTCGTTTCCTCTTCTTTTGGGAGTTGGGTATTGTGAAGAAAGAAGACATAATTGTGGCGGTTGTGAAAAGGAAAGGTCACAATAGAAAATACAGAAAAATGTTCGTCCTATCAAAATAATTTTTTGGGGAGAATTATTCTGCCGCAGAATTTCGAGACAGGGATTGAGTGGATCCAAAATGGAGAGTGTAGCACGTGACATCTATCGAGATTAAAGGTTATGGATTCATACATCAAAAGAATTACAGATCATGTTCGTAGAGATGACATACTAGGTAGCTGTAGACTCATAGATTATCTGGATCTATATCTCGCAAGAAAATCATGACCAAATTGAAAGTTGATTAATCGGGATTTTATTCATTCTTACAATCAAATGTTCAAGCTTGTGGCGCTAAGACATAAGCATGTTAGCGCCGAATTGAATGAGGCAGCGAGAGCTACACGCGTTGGAGCTCCAAAGTCTCAATAGTTAATACAATCTGAAGCTTCATCCTACAACTTAAATCACTATCAATATGTAAGTTTGAATGAAAAAAATGTCTTTGGATGACTGCGCTGACAAGATCATTTTCGTAGGGAGGTCTTACTTGGAATAACTGGCAAGGACTTTACCATCATTGCGGCTTCAAAAGCTGCCATGAGAGGTGCAACCATTCTCAAAGCTTCAGATGACAAGACAAGAGCATTAAACCAACATACCTTGATGGCATTCTCCGGAGAGGCTGGAGATACAAGTAACTGTCCACAGTCTTCTGCAACAAAATAACATGCTAATATTAGCGCTTCACAGTTCAATTCGCAGAATACATTCAAGCCAACGCTCAACTTTACTCCATGCGCAATAACATCGATCTCTCCCCATCCGCGGTTGCTCACTTTGTCCGTGGTGAATTAGCACAATCTCTTCGCTCCCGCAAACCATACAATGTCAACCTTCTCCTCGGCGGTGTTGATCCTATCACCGACAAGCCCAGCCTATACTGGCTCGATTACCTAGCGTCACTTGCACCCCTTCCATATGCAGCTCACGGCTATGCACAATACTACTGCCTGTCTATTCTTGATAAACACCATCACCCAGATATTGATTTTGAACAAGGAATGAAAGTTTTGAGGATGTGTACGGATGAGTTGAAGAGGAGGTTGCCGATTGATTTCAAGGGAATGACTGTTAAAGTTATTACGAAGGAGGGAATTAAGGAGCTTGATTATGATGACAGTGCGAGAATCGACTGCCCTTAAAGGGTTGATTCGAGGATGATTTCTTATGAGGGGCCCTTTATGACACAGGAGATAAACTATGAATTAAGGTATGGGTGTATATTAGCGTGGCATCAAATGGCATAAACTGGCGATACCTATTTCGATGATTCATTACTGGAAATGCATTGTGATTTGATCCGTCTAGAAATTTTTGGCATATTTGAAATGACGCTCCGCTAGACCTTCCAGGGGACCACTGCCATGGTGGCTACCTTTTTTTTATCCACGACATTCGCAAACGTTGTGGTTCAATCCTACCAGTCTTCTTGCCGGGTACACGCAGGAATTGTCTTAAGCCTAAGGGTTATCGATGCCTACCCTCTTTCTCCATCGTCCGTATCTTGCTGCGTGCAACTAGTATTGATCTTCCAGATGGTTTGGACAAAGATCAACCATGGTAAGAGCGTAAAGTTCAACTTACACGACTCCAGCCTCACATGCCCCAGTAAGAAGATGTAATTTTCCAAAGACTTCTTTCTTGAAGTACGGTCTCAGGCGGGTTCTCCTTTTTATAGCCGAAACCTAGATGTAGGTCACATTCATAGATGTCTATCATTATTCTGGAAGTTGGACATCGATCGACGGTCTAGAACATGGCTGCATCTTTAACATGGCGAAAGCTTCTTTTCACTTCATCAAAAAGATAGGTAGACATGCATAGTGACCGATATTGAGATGGGTATTAAAGAATGTCTATTTAACTTTGAGGGTATAGATGCAGTGGATGTCTAGAAGGGGAAAGCAGATTTGAGACTGACAGGAGGACTCTCAAACCTTGATCTTACGAGTGTCATGTGCTGTTATATGTATAAATACAGTACTGTCTATCAAACCAGAGCTTATACCTACAAACTGATCTAAATTATATCTAGATCCTTCTCCATCATTGAACGTATCGATATCATTTTCTAGTGACAATATGTGGTAAGATAACATGGTGGTTGCGATACTCGCCCCGATGTTCGACTGAAACACAATTGATGACTGTGCGACGTCATTTGATACGAACCTACTCGTGTCAACACCAGACAGGGAGGGGAGGACACTAGTAGTCAAGATCATTGAGATGAAGAATGGTAAGAGAAGTACTTCGTAGGTGATTTCTAGCAATAACGTCTCATATAGGTAGCTACCTAGTAGGCAGCAACCAGATAAATATCATAAATATATCAAGATTTATTATGCAAACAACATGGTAGATTAGGAGTGAAGTGATGGAGCGTAGCGAAGAAGCCTCCACGGCAGTGGCCCAGCGGAGCGTCATACAAATCCATCCAATGAATACGTAAGTGAAGATAATTGCAGTGGCTAAAACCTTGATACTCCAGCTACCTAGTACCTAGGCTCAGGGTAGGTAATAGATACGTGCACTCTGTGTATATATAATAAGACTGAATAAATGCGTCGGCACGTTGTAGGTATCTACTCCGTAGTAGATGTCGAGTGGGCAGCTGGAAATAGCTACAGTAAGTATGATGATATACGACAAAGGTGCGGATGTAGTTCATTTAGTAAGTATTACCCAGGTAGGTATATAAAAAGATTAGGTAGGTAGGGTGTCTGTATAGCAGGTATTCATTTTACTAGGTACAGGACGGAACACGATGCGAGCGGCGGGATGATATCAGGCTCGCCTGGGGACCTAGTAGTTAAGGGACTTTTTCCAGATGGAACTTGAGTACTTTAAAATTCTTGATTTCTCATTGGTTCACCATTATTCATCATTACAAAAATGGTCCATAAGGGTTTAGCTCAGGGTCTCTCAGTCCGCTTACCCCAATCGAGACTAACGTCTTTTTCTTTTTTTTGCCTCTCTTGCCCAGTTACCACGATTTGAATACGCACTTGGTCCAAAATCGAAAATTCTACTAGGAGAGGAGTACTAAGCTGGTTCTACTAAAATTCTTCTCTTTTCCTTCGACACCTCTTCCTCTTCAAACACACAAAATAAAATAAAATCTCTTCCTTCTTCAACCCCGATAACATCAAACAGCTTCTTCTTTTTTACGATCAATTTATTTCTTTTTTTCTTACTTTCGGTCTTTGAAGTTTCTTTCGAAGGCTATTAAGAAAACAAGTTAAAAAGAGTTTGACGATTGTCTCAACATTCACGTTTCCTTACTCTTCTTATTTATAAAAGACGAACGGAAGCAATAACTTCATCCAAATTTTCTTCTTTTTAATCGTTTCCATTGCGTTTCGGTTTCTTAGATTTCTGATTATCATCTCAACTGTCTTTTTACACGAGACGTTCAAAAGTTACCAAGAAAGACTTTTCAAAGTCAAATCTAATTTGTTCGATAATACTACGGCCGAATTACGAAGAACCCTTATCAATCGATACCCGATAACCTCACAACTTTTACACCACTTTGATCTTCTAGAATTTTATTCAACATGGCGGATCAACTCAACATGAATGGTCTCAACCTTAACGGTGGTGAACCTCGATCATATATTCCTCCCCACATGCGAGGCAAGATGGGTGGCCCTGCTCCAAGTGGTCCACCAGCAAACTTGAATGGTAGTGCTTGGGCCCCTCAAGGGTGAGTTATCTCCCCATCTTCATCAGATGCATTCGTAATGATAGATGTGCTGACTTGTTTTCTCCTTTTAGTAATGGTTACGCTAATGGTCCACGCCCAGCTGGAGGTGAATCTTGGGCTAACGCTCCTGATTTCACCCCACGTGGAAACGGTGCACCACGAGGTGGAAACAACTGGAACCCATCTGGTCCTCCATCTTTCAACAAGAACGCTTATGGAAACCCTGCAGCTGGTGCTGGCGGTCCTGGAGGTGCTGGAGGTGCTGGTGGCGCTGGTGGTGGTGGTGGTGGTCAAGCTCGTGGTGGTGGAGATGGACAATGGCGAGATGGAAAACACATTGCTGGACCTGCCAACGCTCGTTTAGAACGTGAACTCTTCGGTGTTGCCGACGATCCAACCAAGCAACAAACCGGTATCAACTTCGAAAAGTACGATGATATCCCAGTTGAAGCATCTGGTCAAGATGTCCCAGAACCAGTCCTCAAGTTCACCAACCCACCTCTCGATGATCATCTCATCAAGAACATTGAGTTGGCACATTACAAAGTCCCAACCCCAGTTCAAAAATACTCCATCCCAATTGTTATGGGTGGACGTGATTTGATGGCTTGTGCTCAAACTGGTTCCGGAAAGACTGGTGGTTTCTTGTTCCCCATTTTGTCTCAAGCATTCCAAACTGGTCCATCTCCTGTTCCAGCTAATGCTGCAGGAAGCTTCGGACGCACTCGCAAGGCTTACCCAACTTCTTTGATCCTCGCCCCAACTCGTGAGCTTGTTTCCCAAATTTACGATGAATCCCGCAAATTCGCCTACAGATCCTGGGTTCGCCCTTGTGTCGTTTATGGTGGTGCCGATATTGGTTCTCAACTTCGCCAAATGGAACGTGGCTGTGATCTCCTCGTTGCTACTCCAGGTCGTCTTGTTGATTTGATTGAGCGTGGCCGCATTTCTCTCCAAAACATCAAGTACTTGGTTCTTGATGAGGCTGATCGTATGTTGGACATGGGTTTCGAACCACAAATTCGACGAATTGTTGAGGGTGAGGACATGCCAGGTGTTCAAAACCGTCAAACCCTCATGTTTTCAGCCACCTTCCCTCGCGATATCCAAATGCTTGCCCGTGATTTCTTGAAGGATTACGTTTTCTTGTCTGTTGGTCGTGTTGGTTCTACTTCTGAGAACATTACTCAAAAGGTTGAATACGTCGAGGACATTGACAAGCGTTCCGTCCTTTTGGACATCCTCCACACTCACGGTGCCGGTCTTACTCTCATCTTCGTTGAGACTAAGCGTATGGCCGATTCCTTGTCAGACTTCTTGATCAACCAAAACTTCCCCGCCACCTCTATTCACGGTGATCGTACTCAACGTGAGCGTGAACGTGCTCTTGAGATGTTCAGAAATGGCCGTTGCCCAATTCTTGTCGCTACTGCTGTCGCAGCCAGAGGTATGTCCCCCAATTTTTGCTGTCTTTCCCTCTGATTTTGATCTCCTACTTTCCCTTTCACACGATTCTCCACGCCCTTCTTCCTTTTGAACAGGCAATACTAACTTACTTCTGGGACTTGATATTCCCAATGTAAAGCATGTAGTCAACTACGACCTTCCCACCGACATTGATGACTATGTTCATCGTATCGGTCGTACAGGTCGTGCTGGTAACACTGGTATCTCGACTGCATTCTTCAACCGTGGAAACCGTGGTGTCTGTCGCGATCTTATTGAACTCTTGAAGGAAGCCAACCAAGAGATTCCATCATTCCTCGAGAACATTGCTCGTGAAGGTGGTGGCTTTGGTGGTGGACGAGGAGGTCGATCTGGTGGTCGTGGACGTGGTGGTGGAGCCAACCGTGATTTCCGTAAGTTCGGCGGAGGTGGCGGTGGTGGATTTAACGGAGGTGGTGGATTCGGTGGACCTCCAGCCTCTGGTGGATATGGTGGTGGTGGTGGTGGCTTCGGTGGTCCACCTGCTCCAGCTAGCTACGGTCCTCCTCCAGGACAATATAATGGTGGTGGTGGTTACGGTGGCGGCAATGGTGGAGGCTATGGCAATCCAGTAAGTTCAATTCCGCAATTATCATTTCCAATGCTCAAGACGCATTAAAACAATTACTAACTTCTGGTTCCTCAGTCTGCTGGTGGTGGTGGCCAAAGCTGGTGGTAAAAACCTACACCCAACGCTTTTCGTTCCTTGCTCGAACTCGTATTTCGATTTCGGTACTCTAGAACTTGAACGGAGGCGTTTAGCGGATATTGATGGTCATTGTACCTCTCATTGATATCCTCACAAAAAAAACTTGCTTTTCTCTGTCGACTTTTCCTTACACTTCAGCTTTACATTTGCTCATCAACGAATCATTCTGCGCCTTTTCTGTTTTCTGGTAGCAATACCCACGATTAAAGTCTTCTCTTGCATTCAGCGATAGAGTCGGGCTTTTACACGTGGTCTCGCTCGACCATTGATCGGCATACGATAGAACCTGTCTTTTGTTTATGACTGTCGCCTCGCATCGATACCCATTATAGAAAGGCAGTTGGACGGCTGACACGAGATGTCATCCTTTTACTGCTTACCGGTCACGATGCTTTTTATTACCTGGATTAGGGGGCTATATAAGCTTTCATCTAGGTTTTCCAAGAAACGCATTACGATAGACATGTTCTCCAAAACCTTACTGGTCCTGCTTTCAGCATTTCCATGGATCATGAGTCCTCCACTATGGAAGATTTGCAAAATTTTTCGTTTTTTTCTTTACACTGCATTTTGCTGCATTTCGCATTTCTAGATAGAAAAAAAGTGGGATTCATATTCTCGATATTTTCTTCTTCGTTGTCTTTTATTCATAAGACACATGGCAAGGGAGGATACCATTTGAGAGCTTGAATTGAAGGCTTTCCTCTTACTTTTTCATTTTTCACATCATCTACGAGTGGGCGTCTTTTACGATCAAATCGATATACGACAGTGGCACAACATAGAATAGGCATTTCTCTTCTTAAAAAAGATTTAAGGGAAGAGTTGGTGCTTGTTCTCTATAACGCTGATGGCATTCGGAAGTGCTCCTGTCCATTCAGGCTGAGACTGAGACCCAAAAAGTTGGCAGGTACGGCAGAAAGAAGTCTGCTTCATATGATTGATGGAGGAAAAAAGAAATATGGAATGCGATGGATGATTAATTACTTTGAATGAATATGAAAAGTCTTTCCACAACCAATGCTCTGTCTTATGTGATACTACCGGTGTAATTTGACATGTCTATAATTGCCTTCTTGCCTGCTACCCCTCCACCTAGTCTCATTTGACCTTGTTCTCGCTCTTGTCTCCCTCCACCTCGTCTTTTTGTCCTTGATTCCCGCCTGTCTTCTTGCTCTGCCTATATCTATCTCCCTGTCTTAGTCTTTTTATCCTTACCCTGCCCCGCCTTCTCTGAATGCATCACGCGGTTTCAAACCCTCAAATGATTTCAATATTCTATATGATTTCAAAGTCCCAGGTGCTTTCAATATTTTGTATAATTTTAGTGTTTCTAATTGCTTTAATTTCTTTAAATGTTTTGATATATTATAAGATTTCAATGTTCTATATAATTTTAAAGTTCTAAGTGTTTTTAATGTTTTGTACTGCTTTAATTTCTTTAAGGGTTTTAATATATTATGAGATTTCAATATTCTATATTATCTCAAAGTTCCAGGTGCTTTTAATATCTCATGTATTTTCAGTCTCTCCAACTGCTTCAACTGCTTTAATGGTTTCTCAATATATTATAAGATTTCAAGGCTTCACCTGTCAGTTGAGACACTCAGCCTCTACTGCTCCACCCACCAGTCACATGATTGATGATCCTCCGCTGGCTTATTTCAGTATCAAATCAAGCCCAGCTCCCACAGAAATGTTTGATTAACATTTACATCTTTTGAAAATTCCAGCTCCTCAAACATTTCTATATTGCGATCCAAATATCAATCGTGGTTTCATTCATCAATCGTTTCGATCATCTGGTACTGTTTAGGCAACCGGTCAATGTTGTTGAGACGAATTTGCATCACTTCTCACATGTCCACTGCCTTGGTTCATGTATGTATTTGACACATTCCATCATCTCAAGATAAATTCATTGTATCGTATCAATGCCATACATACCGAGAGGTAGTGCTAGTTATGGGTTTTCTTCATGTAGTGTTACACATGATCCCGATACTATAAGAAGCTATCGCACACTTTGTGGTGTTGTGTTGGGGTAGGTTAGATGTTTGAACATATGCAAGTTACAGATCATGTACGGCATTCATAAATATTTGTTCCATTTTACACCATTTCTTTTGGATTCATTTTTCTTCTATGCCGAATGGCAGTCCATTAGCGCAATTTTTACTTTTGTATAGCGTGTTTCTGCATTAACATTTCGTTATAAAGAATCAAAAATTCCGTCATCATGGTTGCTCAAAAATATTCAACATCCACCAAAAAGTTCAAAGATCCAAGAATGGATTTTCATCAAAGTCTACCTACAAACGGAATGCTCGAATCTAATTCATCACCTGGCTGGGAAGATATCTTTCTATGTTATCCTATCTTCGACAACATTTGTACCCATTTGGATCCCAATGAAATACTATTGCTCCGAGCGACCACTAAACAGCTTTCTCCATTGTTTGAATCACTTTTTAAAACTCAATGGAATGTTAATCTTCAACTCAAACGATTTATTGAGGACCCTATCACATTTCGATCAAAGTTGGCTACATATAATGCCCTTATATCTGGAAGCTTTGCCTTACAATTTTTTGAAAGGAGATTTTGGCAAGAATCCGATCTAGATATCTATGTGAATGGCTCGGATGATTCAGAAAGTCACGATCGACTCGACGAGTACTTAGTCAACAGTGAAGGCTACAAGTTACAGCCCGCAAAAGAGGATGAAGGTAATGACTTGCATGCTTATGCAGGCCACTTGTCAGATATCTTAGAGGTATTTAGTATCTCCGCCACAAACTTTCAACATATACTTACATGAAAATAGGTCAAAACATACCTCAAGATGGGCCTCACTGAGGAGAAGCCACTTCAAATTCAATTGATCTTGACAACTGATACTCCTTGGAATGCAATCATAAATGGCTTTAACCATACGGTTGTTGTGAACGTTATCTCGTGGAACTTGGCTTACTCGTTCTTTCCTCGTTCAAACTTCATCGATAGAACTACCTACGAACTCAAGGGGACCGGTAATCTATATTCCATACCTAATGGTAACCTTGAAAATACTATTGCGAAATATGAACACAGAGGGTGGAGATGGGAGACAGCAATGGCTTACGGTGAATGGAGAAGACTACGTTCGTTGAAATCTTCATCCAGCCTGAACGAGATTGAAGATTACTCAAAGATATGGACCATTACACTGGACACGGATGGTATCAATGACGAAATACCTTTGATCGAATGTAAACCGTCTGTTGACAAGGAAGCAGACAGGGGCTTAGACGATGAATTGCGAAAAGCGGAGACAGAGCAGGCCGAAGTAGAGCAGCATATCATCGATGAATTAGAGGTATTCATTGCCGAGCTGGAAAGGGATGCGAGGGAGCACGCGGATCTAGACCAATACCTTGAAAAAGCGGAAAGGTCGGAAGGAGTGGAGGATGGCTGGATTGAGTTCGGTTTGTGTCTCAGAGGCGAGGCAAAGTCATTAGTTGGATAGCATGTGGAATCTGAGTGAAAGGAAGTCAAGTCAGGGAGGGTAATTGAATAGCGGAGGTCTTGAGGAGGAAACATGACAGAATTGACAAAGAAAGAAAAAGCGAGTCCAAATCCAGTACCGACCGACTTTTCATGGGTCAAATCACCATAAAATCCTTAATTCTAGGCTAAATTGTCTTCCTTCTGAGATGACGATGTAAGTTGAATGGCAGTGCTGTGAGTGAAAAGTGGGTGTGTTGAATGAACTGAGGGCCAAATCCACAGTGTAAATACGAGCCTCGAAATGATATACAAATCCACTCTTAGTCTAATCGTCGCAAAATTCAGGTAAAGAGACGAAGAAACCTCTGAATGATACAAACCCGTTCGCGACGCACTATTTTCTGAGATCTCAAGGTCATGTGGAAAAGCTTGTCTACAAAATTATGTGTTTACTGAGGCAAGGGCCGCGGGTTAAGTTTCATTGTTCTTGGGGTCAGTTGGATAAAGGACCTTTTCCGTTTGGCTGGGTCTCACCATTAAATAAATGCGATGACCATGGTAAAATTATCATTAAGTTGCGCAAAGATTTTGTGTACCCACAGGTATCCTTCAAATCAACTACTCTGCAGGTACCATTGCACAGCCTAATTACCATCGACAAATATCAAATGTAGGGCTACCTTGTAAGAGAGTATTGTCGTTCCATGTTGGATTCCGACACGGATTACCTGTTAGAGACTACTGGATCGATGGCCGAGGTCTCAATTTTTGTGAGTTCAACCAATCCCCGATTCTCGAACTAGATTCACTCGAAAAATAAGCGGAAAAGTGTCGTTTGCTCTGGGCTATTATATGAACTGTCAGTCTCAAGGCATTTAGAAATAACTAGACAGTAGAAAGGCTAAATAAATGAAAGTGAGTGAAAAACTAGCGCCAATTCATTTTCGAGCTCGTTTCTAAACATGGAATACACGCAGAATCATATGGATCGACATTACTTCGGAGGTCAGGCTAGCAATCACGGGTTTGAAATTTATCTGAGGAACAATGATTGCGCAAGTTTTAAGCAGAGCCGAACGTTCACGATTTAAAGAAACGGTAATAAGGTACCATTTCCAGGTATCAAGCTTCTAAATTCCCTTGCTCCAACTTCAGCATCTTTGATAGCTTTTCACCCCATGTATCCTTGCCAGAATACATCTCCCACATCCATGTTTTTACCACCATCGTCTGCGTTTCAATACCTCACAATAAAAGGCACACGACATCCCAATACAGCTGTGATGTAATCACCAGCCTCCGATCCCTAAGGCCCAGTCCCGCATTTCCTGTCAAGAACAATAACAAAGTTCTTGTTCCTTCACTGTGGTATATTCGAAACGTCCGCCTCGGCATTCATTTTACCTCCATAGGTGGCTGGATTTTCCAAATCTCCCGAAAAAGGGACTAAAGTCTGATTCCATGACTTTCATATGGAGAGGGTGATATCTATGTCTGCCAGTGTACGAGTAGAAAAACAGTCATCGTTCTTATAAGCTGTCGAAAGAAGTAACGGAGTTAAGTTTATCTGAAGACGAGGTTGAAGACTTCATGGAAGGCACCGGTGATAGCCCGAGGCGGATATTCTTGGCGCCAACACATGGTTTGGGAGTACACGGGCATCGACGACGCTGCTGATTCTTGAAGCGTTGCAGGTACTCTGGGGCAATCAAAACGGTCCATTCGGATCGTATCTGTGATATCTTCGTTTGCTCGGTCGGAACCTATGAGGGCAGGATCTTGTGGTATTGTGGGGCTTTATTAAAGGCAAGGAAGCTGAGATCTTTTTCTTCGATAGTGATGAATGTGTCAGAATTTCGGAAGAAAGTGCGAGGTTGAAGGGAGTAATGATGAGGAACTCGGATCTTTACATCAGAGAAGACCATTACGAGCAGACTGTTAACTTTATCTCGTGGGTCTGTGGTTTTTCCCAGTCGATGGCAAATGAGTGTATGGTGTAAAGTTGTAAGAATTTCCTCGTTGATATCGTTCTTCTGTACTACTAGACTGAGCTTCATGGAAGACATTAAATAAGATTTTTATACTCAACTAACCTTCAAAAATGGATGTTTTCCGTGTTCAGGATCCACATTTAGAGGAGAATTCATGACCCATTGTTTAGGGGTAGCAGATCCCCTCGGAAACTATGACTTGAGACCACGTCGGGAAAAAGTTTTAAGTTACCAAGAGGTAACGAACAATGCTCGAACCCTCTTTTCTTCATTAATGGAATGTATCGATAGGACGCCAAACATCAGATTTGACCTCTTATGCCATGACGAGATGAAAGAGAGCGGGTTGGGACCCCACGTTCGTAGCATTGCCACTGTATAGATGAGCTGGAATTTTCTTATCTGTAGATATCGGACTGGTTGGTTTGTTTTATTGTTGATCGTTGTTGATAAATGACCAACGCATGTGGGATTCGAGGCTGATCATGATAGATGGATGAATTAAAGTGATTAGAGCGAGATGTTTCTATGTGAGATTTACAACAAACAAAACCAATTAAAGCAACGCTATAGATATCATAACTACAATGTCCAAGCACATTTCTTCTCACGAAGAGACAGATAAAGGTTCAGAACGAACGTGGGGAAGTTACACCCACACACGTGACGAAGATGAACCAATTCATCACGTGCTTAATAACTCATGGTTCTCTATTCCGACAAAATGTGTTTTAGGAGAGGTATGAGTTAAACTGAAAATTAAAAGTCTGTAGAAAAAAAAGGGCTAACTTCGGAAGTAATTCCACTAATTATATTTTTCTGCCAGGCGGTGATCACTAGCGGCCACACCAGGGTTCTAAAAGGTTCTGCTGCAACAGAACCTCTTCAGATTGTTTCGATATGAGTACGATAAGCAATTCTGAATATTCTTACGAGCGCACAAAACCAGTTCGTAAGAACCTGGCTTTTAAGAAGATCACCTACATTCACAACCTCACAATACGACTCTTAGTCCTTCGGTTTTCTGGAATATACGAGTATACCCCTTCAAGAAGAGGCAATCGTGTGCACGTTTTGTCTCACTACAACTAATAAGCCTTACAACACTCCATTCAAATGCTTGATCAGTGAGTTGACCATAGGAAAGGGGTTAAAACTTGTTTTATATTGATAGATGATGAAGAAACTTGCTTTATAACAAAAGAGAGTGTAGATTTTGGGGTCAGGAAGAGAAGAGGAGAAAAAAGATTAGATTTTAAAAGTCTAGTGGGAACTAATGTACTATATACAGGATGGGGAGGATATACGCTAATCTAGTGTATAGTCAACAGAAAGCACACTAAATTAAATGAAGTTGTTTTTGACTCAAAACGCTAGCAAATCCCATTAGACTGGGATGATGAAGAACATCATCGATTGTCACTTGAGCGTGCGAAATTGAAATGGCGTCCCCATTCACTTCCGCTTCGGGGGTGGTCTTAATCCTGCGTTGTATTATGGCGATTAAATGGGCGGCATCGAGAAGGTCGCCTCCTAGTTGGTAGAACGGCAGGTAACATATGTCTGGAGTAGGCGCATCGGGCGGTAACGTTCCCACGCTTGTTGTTCATTTTGAAGTAAAGACGGAGAACCAGATTGTATCGAGAATACTGAGACTAGAATCGTCGAGTTTGTTGGTCGAAATGGCGTTGCTTGATCTGCTTTGGGTTGGACTCTGCTCTTTAGAACTCCTAACCGGTCGCAACAAGGCGAAATTGAAGGAAGATCTTGGCATCATTTCTGTGCCAAGAAGGGCGATTTGGTCAGATTTAGAAGGCCCAGCATTCAAAAGAATGTGAACAGTGTCGGCAAGATCTTCCAGCAGCGCCTGAGCCGTATCCAGGTGGAATGCCCTTGTCGAGTAACCCAGACTCATCTCAACAGTGCCATCGTTCTCCTGGGAGATGACAGCGAGATCGTACCAAGTCGTGAGTGGTTTCATTTCAGTGGTGATTGTGCTCACTTGGAAATCGATTTGTCCGCTGGCTGACTTGGCCGCTGGCTTGGCTGGTCGGTGATTGACGACGGAGGTAAGGCGAGTAGCCGGGGACCACTCCATACACTCCCGGATCATTGAACGGAAACCAACACCCTCATGAGGAATGCGATTCCGCTGCTGATCTCGCACTTGGTTCAACAGTTGAAGGATCGAATGCTGGCCGGAGCTATCAGCAAACCTGATGCGCATAGGGACGTTGGTTGCACAGCAGCCGAAAACGATACTGCTTATAGACGGGTCGACCACGTTTCTCCCGGAAATGGTATCTCCAAACACCACATCGTTCTTCCCCGTGTACAGTGACGGAGTGATTAAGGAAACTGCGCAGTTGTGAATGGTGTTCGTAGTAGCCGCGATCCTCAGTGTCTGCTCTTGTTGGATATAATGGAGAGGCCTCAACGTCGCCCCAGCATGAAACCTCGACTGCTGTTGGCCGCCGCAAGATTGCGCGAGTTGTTCACAGAGTGCGACGACTCGATCCTGGTGAGTCCTGCCGCTGTGGTAAAGTCGTGGCTAGCTTCGTAGCTCGCCCTCACTTGACCCATCGAGGCCCTAATTCTATCATACGAAGGTCTGGCTCTGTCTATCGACGTTCGAACCGGCATCTCCACCGACGGTGCATTGTGATCCGTGGAGTTGGTTCCGTCGCTGCCATTCTGTGCCCGCGTATTATGCGTCGTAACTGACGGTGGATAGATCGGTCGCCTGTCTTCGTCCACGCTGGGATATTGCGCGTGCTTGCCCTTATTCGACGAATCCAATGATATCGAGGCTGTATTCCTTGGTCCCTTCTCCTCCGCTTCTTTGGTCGGTTGGAGATGATCGAATTTTCCTTGCTGTACCTGCTCCCTGATGATGTCGACATCGTACGGCCAATACACCTTCTGCAGCGCCTTGATCGCATATCGAGGGAGTATACATACGACTGGCGTAACGAGCATGACTGCCCAGAACGATAGCTGCCCGTATACTTGTGGCGCCGCTTGATAAAAGGCTGCCGCAGATATGCTGGATCCGTAGACGGCCGTCCAGAAGAAGATGAACAGATCACTGACGGCGATGACCAGAAGCATCAGCCAGTCCCACCGGTACAAGTTGATGAGTATGTACAGGTTGATGGTAAACACGGTCGGGTGCGCAATATAACAGCCAAGGCGTGTTCGCTCTGACACATCCAAACCGTTGAGGGAAGCAAACGGGCCATTAGTGATGGTAAGGTACGGAATAAAGAAGCACATGATGGATTGGTAGAAGCCGTCAACCATGTAGAGCCTGTCACCATTATTAGTGCACTGAAATATACCAAATAGTCACGGGGTTGGTGCTTACCAGAATTTTCTTTGAGTCCACTCCAGCCTCTCGATGCCACGACGATATAGCTGAGGCACGGCTAGCGACACAATGTCCGACACGTCCTGATCAAAAACGCCCATAAGGACGACCGGGATTGAGGTGAAGAGCAGATTAATGAGAATAATATAGCTGTAGTCGAAAACATAGGTGATGTCAAAGTTACAGTAGACCTGAAACCAAAAGAGTGTAAACACCCAAATAATATTTTTATAAAAGAAATTACTGATAGCTTCGGCCAGTCTTCGATAAGACCATCTACCGTGAACCAGTATCAGCCTCTGGAGGAATCGGAACTGGCCAATAGCGTAGTCGGACGACATGACGGCCTGGCGACCCTCGACTCCCGCGATACCGACACCCACATCTGCCTCCTGAATCATTGCAACGTCGTTTGCACCATCTCCCACCGATAGAGTCATGACGTCAAAACCTGTCTTCACCATGGCGCAAACAGCGGCTTTCTGGGCCGGACTGACGCGGCAGCACAGAACCGACTTGCACTGCTTGCAGAGGAGGAGAAATTTCTGCTTCAGCTCGTCACCCAGTGCCCACCTAAGGGTGAAACCGTCGATTACCAAGCCATGCGTTGGGCCTGGTGGCTCGTGATTATGTCGGGCTTCCGCTAGGTCTTGGTCACTCCCTGTGAGGTTGAACACCGCTAGATGCTTGTCAAGCTCAGCCCGTATCAGGCCAATGAATTCCTCGTCCGGAGTGTTACCGTTTTCATCCTCTTCGACCCGAAGACGAATAAGCTCCATGTTGTTGTTCAGGAGGTTACACGAAAATCCAATGTTAATTGCCGTCTCCACTTTGTCGCCGGTTAACACCCAGAGTTTGATGCCTGCGTCACCTAATAGTGCGATGGTATCCGGAACTCCGTCTTGTAGTCGGTCCTCAATGGCTGTTCCACCCAATAGTGTCATTTCTTGTTCTATCAAGTCGGCTGCCTGCTCCATTTTCTCCTCGCGCTCTTCAAGTGCTGTGGCGGCAGCATCGTGTATCTTACGCCAGCCGTAGTACTCTTCTTCGTCCAATACCCGCTCTGCAATACAGAGGGTCCGGAGACCTTCCCTAGCAAATATTTCGAGATGCTCAGCGGTTCTCTTACGCAGCTCAGCTTGCTCTCCCCGCCTCAGCCGTGAGTAGATGACGCTGTCTGCACCCTTGCAGAAGAGTACAATCTTACCGTCTGGCATCCTGACAATAGCACTCATACGCTTACGGGACGAATTAAACTCGACTACGTTCAAGATGGGGTAGTGCTTCTCTTCGCCCATGACGTTCAGATTTATGCCCTCACTAGTGTTTCCGAGAACCGTAAAGCCCATGTCACGAGCTGTTGCGACGAGTGCGGCCTCGTCCGGTGACTGTGCCTTGAATGTCATCACGTCTCCTGGGACCTCCTCAGCGATGACTGTGTGGCAGAGCGCAAGTGCCAGCATGAATTGTTCGGTAGCATGCTGTTGTTCAGACCCGTACTTTCCAGAGAGGTCCTCCACGAAGTCCGGGGCAATAAAGGTTAGATCTTTATCATGCAGATAAGGGTTGGCGTAAAGCTCCCGAAGATCCTTGAGCACCTTTACTTTAGCCTCGGCGATCTCAGCTCTTGCCAATTCACCTTCCTTTTCCATGTCGATTCCCAGTCGCTTCTGCATTCCAGCCTGGGCCTCGGTGTACGCCTCGCCATAGGGCCGCCCGTTTATAGTTGCTTTCTTGAACTCCATGACATTCTGGGTCAGAGTCCCTGTCTTATCGGAAAAGATGTACTCGATTTGACCCAAGTCGTCGGATAAATTCCATGACTTCGGTATGCACGGCTGCTCGATCGGATCATACCACATCTCTCTATCGCTGTAGATGAAAACGGCCTGAAGAGTTCGCACGATCTCGACCGAGATATAGAGCGATAATGGAACCAAGTTCTGGAAGAGGATAATGGACGCCCAGAACGTGGTAAACCCACTCATGCCTGGTGATCCTCCAATAGACCCGAAGTCAAAATAATGCTGTGATGCATCATTCTGTCCCCAGGCGACGCCGTTAGCGATGCCGGCAATAAGGCACATGATGAACAAGACGCCAAAGTTACAGATGATGTTGAAGTTTAGCTCCCTGGAGATGCGAGCCCGCTTACTAGGGGTTATCCCTGCGTTCATCATGGTCTTCGTGTCGTGACCAGTGAATATGACGATGCCGAGGGCCCATTCCGTATTTCTCAGATTGCAGCCTCGTAAGAGGACGTTATCGATCGTGACAGGTTCTGACATCTCATGCGATTGACCTGCAATCTTCTGATTCCACTTGATGGCGGCATTATACTTGTAGAGGTTGGGTTCTGGTGCTTCACTTTCGATCCGGAACTGTGCTCTTTCACAATCCTTCGCATGCTTGAGAGATCGCCCGCAGCGAGGAGCCTGCCGGTACTTCAGGTTGGTCTCCCCATCCAGGTTTTTGGTCTCGACGTAGCAGACGCCTTCAGGATCTGAGCTCGCCAGGATGATAACATCGGCGGGGAACTCGTCATCATTATATATTCGCACAAAGTCACCGACTTGCAGTTCTTTCCACGTACTCCGATGGAAGCGTGCTTTGCCTGGGGCTTGAATGTCATAGTTAATCAAGTCTGTCTTGGCTGTTCGTATGTTGACCTCGCTGGGCTGGAAGGACAAGGCCGAGGTTGGCTGCTCCCGGGGGTCCTGGAGCCGAGGCTGCGGCTGAAGCTGGTCCGGCCGAGGATCTGGAGACGGAACTGGCGTCATCTGGATATCTTCACGGGTCGAAACAAACGAAGGTCTCTTCGTGTAGGGGGATATGATAGATTCCGGACGGGTCCTTTTCGTCTCGATCGACGCGCGGGGACGATCATGCCCGATGCCGCTAGCCCTCATCGCCTGGTTTTTCCTCTTCCATAAGCTCTCGACGGAATGCCAAATGATGTCTAGAAATCTTGAGGTAGCTTTCTTCGTCTTTCTCCAACTCGATACGTTGTCTTCCTTCACATTGACATTATCCCAGCCGCACAGCCGATATACTGGGGAATTGTTGAGCTGTTTATCCGAGATGGTCCGCCGCCGATCCTCAATAGCATCCCTGACTGCTGTGATTGCAATGATGAATATCAAAGGAGCAGAGTTGAGGCCGGGATTGTTAACGCCAAATATAGAGAAGAACTAATCCAAGACTGTGAGCTTCTCGTTGTTTATGGGGAGGCCCATTCACGTCAGAACGAACTTACAGCAAGTACAGTGATGAACAAGAAGAAGATATTGGCTATGTTGTGGAATTGGAAGTAAAGATTCTTGGGTAAAAAGGACAGCGGCGTATATTTCGCCGTGCGTATCTTGTTTCGCGCGTATTTTTGCGCCGGTTCACCATCCTCGTCCTTCAAGTCGTCAGGGAGCGGCAGGTTGAAATATAGAGTCCTGGGACCGGGCCCGAAATTTTCGGTCTCCTCTTCTTCTGGGCCGCCATCGCCTTGATTTGGCTGTTGTAGTGACTCGGAGCCTCCGGACGCCTTCTTGTTCTCGTTGGAGTGTCTTTTATTGTTCGTGCGGCTCAGGAGCGACAACCGCTTGACCTGGCTGCTCTTGACCGTCAGCTTGCGCGTTGCCCATCTTGACCGTTTTGTCTTGTTGATAGACTTGTTTCCGTGGCTGCCGTCGCTCTGGTCGCCCTCGTTTGCAAGCGTTGCCATGGGTATGTGAGGTTGCGGGCAGGGCACGGTCAACCCGAGAGGTCCGCCAGATTGACCTTCGCTGGCCGAATCGCTACCTCCGCCCACTCATTAATTTGTAGTACAAACGATCCAGATTGAACTGTGGTTCGTGTCAATTGGAGTCAGATGAAAGCCGGTGGATAAATGCAGACTTAAAATCGCGGTACGACGGAGTCGAATAAGTATCGTGGTGGCAGCTGAGAGCGATTTCACTTTTCTAGGTAGATGGCAGAAGGGAGGGGGTACACAGGAAGGCGGAAGTTTTGGCTGACACTGAATTCTTGGATGGGCCGGGGTTGTAAATTCACAGTGAGCCACCAGGGCCAGACAGGTAAGACCTCCTGAGAAGCCGCATACAAATATGCGCGACCAGCCAGGGGGTCACTGGCTCAGTACATCCTTTTGGAGAGGTTTCTTCGAGCCAAATCAAGACAAGTCAAATTGAGGAAGTCAAAGTAAGAAGAAGCCAGATTAAGATTGTACTTATTCAAATGGAAGTCAAAACAAAGCAGAGGCCAAATTGACATGTTTTGCAGCTTCTGGTTAGCAACCCCAAAGGCCTGTAAATCGCAGTAGTATAGGAAGGTAGCATTGTATTGGTTAATTTGATGAAAGAGTAAGATCCGAAGGATTCCTTATATATCCGGTGGGGGTGCTAGCGCTCCCGTGACTACTCCCGAGTCGGAGATCTACGGCCGCGCATCGGCCGTAGATCCCCGTGTTTGCGGTACTGCATTGACAATGGTACCATACCGATAATGGTACAAACTCCGGCCCAGTATTATAATCTGTACAGTACCGCCACTGCCATGGTAGTTTTTTGGCACCGCTGCAGAGCAAAGAGAAGGCCTCGGGTCCGGAGCATATGTCGACGCGCTCTACATTCAACAACCTAGGGATCTTACATGCCAAGCAAAGAAGGCTGACTAAAGCTGAGTGTTACGACTGTGCATAGGCCCATACAGGGGCTATAATAGGATCCTGGAGGATTGTAGCTTAGCAGGTACCCACTCTCGCAACCGACAGAAAAAACCGAACATCAAAAATCTTCACCTCAATCAAAATTTGATATATAAATAACAATTTAATATAATCTTTTCAAATCTTAAAAAACACTTATTTATTAGCTTATAGCTTCTATAAATTAATTTAAAAAGATTTAAAATATAAAATCAAATTAATACTAAATTTTGAAAAAGAATCATTTTCAAATTTTTGTTTATTTTACAGGATTAATATTCGGTTTTTTCTGTCGATTGCGAGCTACTGTTATGCTGCTTACTATGGGGCAAGTTACAAGAATAAGGCATTTAATTAGCTAAAAGCGCGATCCACCCGGGCGAATACTTCCTGCCCTCCACCCGTATAGGTGCTTACCTGGTCTGAATAATGTAATTAGCAGTATGCCAGGAAGATTGCTAATATAATAAGTATAAGAACTTCCTCTTCATGTTGCCGAATACTGCCGCCCTACCTAAGCACCATCCGCCGAGAGTAGAAATTTTACTAGTTCCAGCATACTACAAGACACAAAGCATAAAAGCGCAAAATGGCCGAACAGCGACACGGGCCGCTGTCTGTGATCCATGCGGGCCTCATGCGCACCGGTACACTATCAATGAAGCGCGCCTACGAGATGCTCGGCCTGCGCGCGCATCACGGCTTCGAGATGGACTCGTGGGATGACTATGCGGGGCTAGAGCTCGCGGCCGAGGCCACGTGGCCGAGCGTGCCTGGCGCGCGGAAGCCCGTGCCCCCACCCTTCACCAGCGCCGACTGGGAGCGGCTGTTCCCCAACTATGACGTCGTCACCGACCTGGCCTCGCTTTTCGCCGAGGAGATGATCCGCACGTATCCCGAGGCCAAGGTGGTGGTAGTGCAGCGGGATTTTGACGCCTGGTGGGCCAGCTTCGCGAGCGCCGTCCTATCAAAGGATATCCCGGGCAACTCACTCGCCTTGGCGCTGGTCCACGCCCTCTATCGGGCAGCCGGGACGCGCGTGTTCGACGCCGTCTCAAAGATGGTCAACGGCGCCTTTGGCACGCAGATGTACCGCGATATCACCACCGAGAAGGCGAGAGCCTTCTATGACGCATACTACAGCCGCATCCGCCAGATGGTGCCCGCGGAGCGGAGGCTCGAATATAGTTTAAGCCAGGGCTGGTAGCCACTGTGCCGCTTCCTCGATAAGCCCATCCCAGATGCGCCATTCCCCCGTGTCAATGACGTGGCGAGATGCAGCGCCGAAAGATGAGTGAGTTCGGGAGGATTGTGTTCCAGGCCGGGCGCAACATGCTGCCTTACCTTCTTGGAGGAGCCGGCGCTGCGCTCTCCGTCTGGCTGTATAGCGTCTCCAAGTAGCCGAGGGGGGCGAGTGGAGAGGGGACACAAACTGTTGATTAATTATTTAGTGAGTGCCGATGTATTGTAACAGTAGGTATTATTTCCTACAACTTGGAGGCTTGATGCACATATAAACATACAACCGGTTCCGCAACTAGATTGAAACCCTGCGATTTAGCCGACGCTAACTTTACAATTCAACCGCCATTATAAATAAATGAATCTATTATTAATAAATTTTGTAAATTTACTAACATGATTTAAAGAAAACAAAAGAGCCCTGTGATATAGAGCTGTCACTCGAATCGAAGAGAAATTCAATATAAATTCCTATATAAATTTTTCATATATATATTACAATATTAATGATATTTTCGTTATTCACGAATAGATTATATTATTAGTTATGAATGGAATCGGTATTTTTTGTAATCCTTTTATTATTGAATTTCAATAAATAAAGTTAAAATTTAGGCTTTAAGGTTTTAGTATTTAGAGGAGGTGAATGGAAGAGAATGAGCGTAGGAGCTAAAAAGAGTAAGGGAGTAAGTGTAGGAGCTAAGAAAAGGAGAAGAGGAACAAATAAAAGAGGAGGGGAATAAGTATAAGTTAAAGACTTTAATCAAAAACTTAAAGGGGAGGGGATTTCTATTCTTGTTATTCATTTTCGATTTATTTTTCAATTAAAAGTTTTATTATTATACTAAAAAATACAGAATATATTGAATAAATAGAAAATTGTTACGTAAGCGGACACAATAGGAGTTGTAAGCTTTACTACTACGCCACGCACGCAATCTGTCCAAAAGGCACAGAAAAGAGGCTAAATACGTATTGAAGGGGGTGAAAAGCTTGATTGTATTCCTATGAAAGGTTGAGGCTATTTAAGGTGCTAGAAAGCTAGTAAAACCACGCTAGAGGGGGCTGTAGTATTCACTCTGGTATCTAGTCCATCCTAAAAAAGAACTATACGCCCCCGTATAGAAAATCCAGTTATCCCCTGAAATGTAAGGCCAACTGCCTCGAAAATGGAACTAGCTTTCAAGCTAAGAACCGTAATACACCATCCACTCTCCAACTTCCTAGCATATTGAAGCCTGAATTGTCTTTCCTGTTGTATTGTTATATTGTATGCGATATCCCTGTCGAAACTGAACTATATGTGACGTACAATCGAAGAACTAAAGGTAGGCATAGAAAGGTAACTTATTCGGATTCGAAAGGAAACATTAAAATGATCTGGATATTCTATACCACGATAGAGTCCCCAGTTGATATTGAGCCACTATACAATGCTACTCTAAAGCCTCTAAATAGCTTTAATAATGTTCTCAAAAATATAAACTTAAAATGATATCGTAAAAAGTAATTGTAGATTGACTTATAGTATAAATTGAAAAATCGAATATCGTATTGTTGAAAAAAGAAAGGAGATTCGAAAAGTAATTCGAATAAGATCTTCAAAAAGATAATTTTGAAAGAGGTTTGAGAAATTTTGAAAAATAATACTATTCAAAGATTGAAATAAAGAAATCGAAATAAAATTTTTTTTTTGAAAGATATTACAGCTTACAAACCATCAATAAAGATATCGTAAAGAATTATAATATATCATATTGAAAAAAATAAAGCAATTTATAATATTTAAAAAGATATCTTTCAGAACTAATACCTTATAACTTGAAAGAAATCAAGAGAAGATTGAAAACCATATCTATTTTGTTCCTACATAGATCACCAGAAAAGAGGTTAAATATATATTAAAGGGGGTAAAAAGCTTAATTGTATTCCTATAAAAGATTGAGGCTATTTAAGGTGCTAGAAAGCTAGTAAAACCACGCTAGAGGGGGCTGTAGTATTCACTCTGGTATCTGGCACAGTATCAGGGATCGAAGTCCTGATAGCTTACTACTATATATATACCCTGTAACAAAAATTAATCTAATTTGAATATATATAGATTATTCTCTCTCAAAGAATTATCTAAAGCTAAAACTTTAACTTTCCAAATTCAAATTCAAAAACTTAATTAAATCTCTTTAGACTAAAATTTATTTATTTAGTACGAAATTATTGATCTTATTAATACTCTAAAAACGATTTTCTTAATATATGAATAAATACATAAGAATTTATAGTGATTGATGAATTAGTAGATTTATCGACTATAGAATCTACTACTACAGGGGAGAGGTTTAATCCTAATATAATTCGATAAATCAAGGATACGTTTTCACAACTAGATGTCTTTTTACAGCTAGATATAAGAGTTTACGGTAAACCAGGGTAAAGCTTTTATCAACGTAAATATGAAGAAGAAGAAGAAGAAGTATCGAATGCTTCTTCTTCTTCTTTAAGTACTACACCATCATAAAGAAGTTTAGCTCATATAATATAAAAAAGTACTATTACAAGTGTTTACTATAAAATTCTATTATTTTCAGTCATATTAATCTACGAAATATCATGTTTTAAGCCTTTACCTTTGATTCTATACTAGAATGTCTAAATCAATTAAAAATCAAAAGGATTATTAGAACATTTTACATCTGAGGATTCAGGAAATTCTTGTGCTAAGCGGCCGGAACTCTTCAGTCCAGTTCCTGTATCTTTTATTTCATACAAATCATCCTAGAACATAAATAAACAAGTAAATCATTAATCTCGTTATTATATTTTGATAGATCATATATCGACCCTTAACCTTTAATTGACAAGGAAACATACAAATAAAAATGACAGCCATAACTACTGACCAGTGATAACAATAAAGTCTGATTAAAAGAATAAATATGTGACCAAGATAAGTTCAAAACATACGAAGTATGAGGAGATGTCAGAAACCATACTGTGCCGTAGGTCAGCTTTATTTGCGCTGACAGAGAACCACCATGCCCACAATTGTTCAACTGCGTCTTGTTTGAGAATTTCAAAGTTCAACTTTAGAAAACAATCTTAGGAATTTCTTAGAATCTAATCTCTATAGAATTCTCCTCGTCAAAATCATCTGCAGATAATTCCCTACTTCTCAGAGTCCCGGACAATTTGGTAGCGTTGACGCAGTGGAACAATTATCGATGTAGTAGAACATCAAGCGTGAAACAAGAAACGTCATTCTTCAACGGCATCTCTTCCACGACCATTCCTGACCGCTTCATATCACCATTAGATACCTAGGTACTTAATACGAGTATTACTCTAGAAATTCTATGGACTAATCAATCACACATGTAAAAAAAATACAACCATCAGAGTCCGCTTCTGCACTAGACAATTACCACCAGTCCATCCATCAATTTTAAATTAACAAATATCTGCAACCTTTCTAATCCAAGCAACCACACCTCAAAAATGGTAAAGATTAGAAATACACTTAAACGTTAACATACATAACCGAGGATCCTAGATATAACTCTCCCACTAAAAATTATATGCGAACACTCTCATAACCTTACTTGCCGAGATCCGTGAAATCTACTAGGGTCAATTGTAAGTAATAATTAGTACAAAATTGACGCCTTGGAGCAATAATCGATGCAGTAGAATATAAAACGAATAGGTAGTAGAAAATATATATAGAATAGATAGGTTTATTAATATTAAGTGTAGTATATATTTTATTAAAAGCTATATACAATCTAGTTGAGTATATCAATCAAAATAATTACTCAATACGTCTAATGCGTTTAGTATTGTTAGTTTGAGAGAGATATAAAAAACGTAGTTCCTATTATATATAAGCCTCTAAATATTTATTTATATTCAATCTAAGAAGCTAGCTAAATAAAGGGAATAATAGGCTTTATATAGGCATTATTAAAAGAGCTAGTCTCCTTCGTTTTTGTTTAAATATCTTTAATATAGTTATTATTGTATAGAAATCATTTTCTTAAAATGAATTTCTTTGAATAAATTTCCTTGTCTATATACTCGGAATTTTTTTTTATAATTTCAAATATAATAACAGAAAAGAAATTTGTAAAATTATAAATATCCTTTATCTGCTGGTTAAAATCCCTAACTTTTTATTAACAAAACCAATCCCTTCCCTTAATCCTATTCTATTTATTTTATTACCTTAATATTAATCTTATTTATATTGATTAGATTAATAAAAGCTTAATACAGCTTTTCTTTTGTTATTATATTAATTAAATTGATTGAACCATTAATTCAAATCATTTTAATAATCTTTTTTTGTTTATAGAATTGATGTAATGCTATAATATCAATTATTAATCTCTTTTCATTAATTATTCCTAATTTCATAAATAGGTTATATAATAACTTGAAATCAGTATATAAAACTAATAAAATCTCTTTACCGAGAATAGTATTAATTGTAGAAGTAATTGCTATATTAATATTAAATCTTTAAACTAATCTATATAATTTGAATATTAAAATATTATATATAACTTTTTTGTATTTAATAGATAATTAATAAATAATATTAGTATTATTATATTTATTTATTATTATAATTATATAATTTATTTAAACAAATAATTCTTATTATTTATAAAAAAGATATCAGTAAAGATAATAATCTTAAATGAATTTAGATTAAATAATATACATTTGAGTTTTTTAGTAAAGTTTTCTTTTTATTATTAAATATATTTGTTTAATACTATAACATTATTCTTGTTAGGTTGAATTATTTACATTGTTATAGATAAATCGAAAAATGCTTTAGATTAATATATAATTATAATATATACTCTATAAGCTTGTTATATAATATATTATTCATATATAGAAGTATACTTCTAAACCTTGCTATATATATTATATATATTCATAGTTTTAGTAGATATAAGC